TCATTCGACTCAAGAGATTAACCTTCTTCCCCTCATCTGTTGAATTATTTCACCGCATCTATGCAATTTTATGTAGTACAAAAGAATTCAATATCAACTTTCTCTTATATAAAAAGAAATATACAATTACTATAGAGATAATAAGGCTATAAAGGTTTTGGTTTAAGCACTGATAGGTCTAATTTTAGAGGAATAAATTATACTAAATAGTTTGAAATTGATAGAATTATGTATATGATTAAATTAATTATAAATCCACAAACTAGACTCAAACATGAACCCCAGTGATTAGGTATTCTAAATTAGTGGTGGATTTAGCCTAAATGAGGCAATTAACATGAGATCGATATTATGTATTATATATTGATTGGAGGAATTTGTACGAATTGCTCGAAGTGAAGCATTTGGTATTTTGGCACAAGTACTGTGAATAGTAATCTTACCGCAATTTGTGTTTTCATAACTTACATAATTTATACATGATTTTTAATATGAATATGTTACCGATTATTTTGAGTTGCATATGGGACAAGTGTTTTACTCGATATGATACCAAAATAGTTATTTGAGATAATTACCGTTGTTTTAAATATTCTTGCTGTCACTAAATATGTCTTCCGTTACTTGAATTTACTGTTATCGAAATGAAATTACATGATTTGTTAAGAACCGAAATGCCCTATATTGTTTTAAAATATCTTCCTATGAGTATATACGAATACAGAGGCAAGTATAAATGTGAGTAGACTTTGAAGGATCCTGTAGCTAACGGCGAGTTCGTTAAACCTGGTGCACATTGTATTTACTGATTACAGAGTACAGTTATAGCCCTCGCTAGAGGGAAGGTAGAACTAGCATACCGTTACTGATTTTCCTCAAGTAGGGACTACCGTTATATTTGACTTCTTGCGAAGAAGTCCACAGTTATACCGATTACATGATGCATTCATTAAAACCTCCCAAATGTGAATATTGATATTATACAGTAGTTACCGAGATTATTACTAAATTATTAATTGTATTATACTACAAGAAGAATATGATGAGACTTAAAATTATTTATTGTTTCTGAAAAGGCATTTTTATGTTATTTTTTGTTTGAGATACTAGCATATTTTCTGACTTGTCCCTAATAAAAACGGTTGTGGTTAAGTGTTATTACTCACTGAGCTAGCGACTCATTCCCCCCTATTTGTTTTTACAGAGACAATAGTTGACGCGGGCGAAGATTTCGTTAATTAGAGCGCACAAGTTGATAGTTCTTGGTGAGCCTCGCACTTGTTCGCATGGGGGATTTTATTTATTGTTATAATCTTTTCTCTGAACTCTTAGAGTCGCTCCATAGTCAATATTTTAGTGTCACGAGTATTCTTTTGTGTTATAGTCTTATATTGAGTATCATTCTTTATTATCAAAGTTGGAGATAAATTAGTATTTCTGGTTGTTAGTGGGTTGCTTAGTAATGGTGGAGACTTGTTTTGGCTAATTGATAAGTTGTCAATTGTTTGGTATGATATTAGGATGTTTGGTTGTTGATTTGATACAGAAATGTTTTTGGGATAGTCCAAAAAGAAGGGAAACTCTATCCGATTTTATGTAAAATATCGATGAGGCTTACTTGGGAGCACTTTCTCCTAAACACCGGTCACAATCCTAAATTGGGTTGTGACAAAGTTGGTATCAAAGCTTAGGCTTTAAGTCTCGAGTCATGGAGCAATGTTTAGTAGAGTTTTGTTCATGGGTATGTAGGCGCCCATACTTATGATTTTGAGGCTACTGAACATCTAGGAATGTTTTCCCTTCTTTCATTCTTTGATCTTGCGTTGTGATAACTTGAGATTGACTTTGGAGTATTTCTTTCGCGGATGGCTAGGACACGCACACCCTCATCTGTTGGACGTGATTCTGGATGTGGTACTGCCTAGGGTAGCGGTCAAGTTGGAGTTCATCAAACTAGAAGACAGACTGCTCTTCAACCTGAAGTTGGAAACATGGGTCAACCTCAAGCTGTTATGCCAGATTAAATACAAGGGCGGGGAGTTCAGGATGCTCCACCACCAATGCCAACTGTTGTGCCTACTATTGCCTTACCTGCAGATGCAATGGCAAGGTTATTGAATGTGTTAGAGGTATTGGTGCCTACTCTGGGAGGAGTTCAGCTCCTCAGGCTACTTTACAGACACAAGCACCTGCATATACTTAGACTTTCGGAAATAATAAAGTATCCCTACAAGAGTTCCTGAAATTAAAATTACCAAAATTCACAGGTTCTGATAATTCAACAAATCCTCAAAGTTTCTTGGATGGGACACTCAAGGCATTACGTGATCTAGGATGTTCTAGTGAGAGAGTTGTGGAGCTTGCAACATACAAACTAAAGGATATGGCCAACACATGGTATGAAACTGTATTGCTAGGAAGGCCAGCAGGAGCAGCACCACTGACATGGGACGAGTTCACTAAGTTGTTCAAGAATTATTTCCTTCTAGACAGCCTGATGCAAAAATATGCTAGAGACTTTGAGAGATTGGTTCAGACTCTAGATATGGATGTGTCAACATCTAACACTAAGTTTTGTAAGTTGTCTATATATGCTCCTTACTTAGTGTCTACCGAAGAAGCTCGAGTTAAGAGGTTTGTTGATGGATTGGTTGGTCGTCTATACACTGCAATGGCTCCACAGATTAAGAATTTATTCTACTCTGATGTAGTCGACCTTGCTAGAAAGATTGAAAATAAGGGATGTGATGAGCGTGCAACTAGTTATTTACATAAGAAGTCCAAGACAGGAGGGTCTTTCCGTGGCGGTTTTAGTGAAAATCGAAACGTTGGATATTAGGGACAACAACAACAGGGTTCTCAGATAGGGACACACTTGTCTTCACAGACCACATTACAAACAAGGTACTAGGGGACCGTCAGCATCTGGACATCGTAATTCTGGGCAGATATATGTCAATGCTGCAGTCTGCCAGACCTGTGGTAGATCACATTTGGGCCAATATCGTATTCTAACGGGAGAGTGCTTTCGGTGTGGCCAATTGGGACATAACTTGAGGGATTGCCCTCAGCCTTCGAGGAATTTCAACCAGGCTTCTATTCAATCAGTTGCACCTACTCAGGCTGCTCGTAATACTTCAGGTGCCACAAGTACAGGAAATAGAGGTCGAGGTGTTGGAGACCGTGCTATTGTGAATCAAGGACAAAGGAATGCTGGTAGAGGTCAGGCGAAAGTTTTTGCATTTACTAGACAGGATGCTCAGGCCTCGAATGCTGTGGTTACAAGTATTCTTTCTATTTGTTCATTTGATGCACTCGCGTTGATTGACCCGGGATCTACTCACTCTTATGTGTCCTCGTACTTTGCTTTGAGGTTTAATAGACAGCCTGAGCTATTGAATGACCCATTTCTAGTTGTTAATCCTGTTGGGGAGTCTCTATTAGCTAAATATGTGTATCGTGCTTGTCAGATTCGGGTTGAGGGTAGAGATACTCTAACTAACCTTATTTTACTTGATATGATTGACCTTGACATGCTGATGGGAATGGATTGGTTATCTTCTTGCTATACTATCGTCGATTGTCATGCAAAGATAGTCAAGTTTGAGATACCAAACGAACCCAGTTTTGTTCTAAAAGGGGGTTAGGTTCCAGAGACTTGCAAAGTTGTATCTTATATGAAAGACCAACGGTTGTTTGGGTCTCTTAGCTATTGTAAATGACACAAGAAAGGAAACAGTTAGTATAAAAAATGTACCGATAGTGAGAGAATTTTTTGATGTATTTCCTGAGGATTACCTCCAGTACGAGAAATAGATTTTGGTATTGATTTACCACCTGACATACAACCCATATCAATACCGCCCTATCGGATGGCACCATCAGGGTTGAAGGAGCTAAAACAACAATTGCATGATTTATTAGAAAGGGGTTTTATCAGACCGAGTATATCTCCATGGGGTGCACCGGTACTGTTCGTAAAGAAGAAAGACAGATCCCTGAAAATGTGCATTGACTACAGGCAGTTGAACAAGATAGCAATACGCAATAAGTATCCTTTGCCTCATATAGATGACATGTTTGATTAGTTACAAGGAGCTGCCCACTTTTAAAAAATTGACCTCCATTGAGGTTATCATCAGCTTAGAATCCAAGATGAAGATATTTCTAAGACTGCTTTCAGAACTCAATACGGGCACTATGAGTTCCTTGTGATGCCTTTCGAACTGACTAATACTCCAGCTACATTCATGGATTTAATGAATAGGGTGTTCAAGCCGTTTCTGGATAAATTTGTAATAGTATTTATTGATGATATCCTGATATATTCTCGTAGCTAAGGAGAACATGGGAATCATCTCAGGACTGTATTGCAGACATTGCGAGAACATCGGCTTAATGCTAAGTTCTCAAAGTGTAAATTTTGGCTAGACTCGGTATCATTTCTAGGGCATGTTGTTTCCAAAAATGGAATTATGGTAGATCCTAAGTAGACGGAAGGTGTGCAGAAATGGCCCGAACCTACTTCTCCTACAAAAATTGGCAACTTTTTAGGCTTAGCAGACTATTACAGGCATTTTGTGTAGGATTTCTCCAGAATAGAAGCGCCACTGACCAAGCTAACACAGAAAAATGCAAAGTTTCAGTGGACGGAGGAATGTGAGCAGAGCTTTTAGAAACTCAAAACGTGTCTGAAAACTGTACCAATATTAGCCTTACCATAAGGTTCTGAAGGATTTACAGTATTCTGTGACGCCTCAAGGGTATGATTAGGATGTGTTCTCATGCAAAATATTCGTGTTATAGCTTATGCTTCGAGATAATTAAAAAAGCACGAGCAAAACTATCCTACACATGATTTGGAGATGGTTGCAGTGGTATTTGCTCTAAAAATTTGGAGGCATTACCTATATGGAGAAACTTGTGATATTTATACTGACCATAAAAGTCTGAAATATATCTTTCAGCAGAGAGATCTAAATCTTCGGCAGCGTCGGTGGATGGAACTACTCAAAGACTATGATTGTTCTATTTTGTATCATCCTGGAAAAGCCAATGTGGTGGTTGATGCATTGAGCAAAAAATCTATGGAGAGTTTGGCATATATAGCTCCCCCAAAGAAACTTTTGGCCAGGGATATTCAGAGACTAGAAGATACAGGTATCAGATTTAGTATCAGAAATTTAGAGGCATTGTTGGCTTGTGCTCAGGCCAAGACTTTATTAGTTGAGCGCATTAAGGCCACCCAATATAAGGATGAACGATTATGCAAATACAGAGATGAGGCCTTAACTAGTAAAAGCAAGGATATGATTGTTGAAAGTGATGGTGTTCTTCGAATAGGTGACAAGCTATGTGTAGCAGACGTAGATGGGTTAAGACATGTTATTCTTGAAGAAGCACACAACTCTAAATACACTATACATCCTGAATCCACAAAAATGTACCATTACCTAAAGCAATATTATTGGTGGGAAAGTATGAAGAAAGATATTGCTAACTTTGTTTCTAGTTGTTTGACGTGTCAGCATATCAAAGTTGAGCATCAGTGACCAGCAGGACTACTACAACAAATGAACAAATTGAGATTCTAGAGTGGGAATGGAAAAGAATTACTATGGATTTTGTCACCGGTCTCCCACGAACTCTTAGAGGTTATGATTCGGTGTGGGTAATTATAGGTTGACTAACAAAATCAACACACTTTTTGCCTGTGAAGACTACATATATTGGAGTGAGGTATGCACAGATATTTATGAACGAAATTTTCTGACTTCACGGAGTTCCAGTATCCATCATCTCTGATAGAGGATCACAGTTCACTTCAAGCTTTTGGAAATCTTTTCAAGAAGCATTGGGTACATGAGTAGATCCTAGCACTGCATTTCATCCACAGACAGACGAGCAGTCTGAACGTACTATACAGATCTTGGAGGATATGTTGAGAGCTTGCATTCTTGAGTTTGGAGGTAGCTGGGATGCTTATCTACCTTTAGTTGAATTTACTTACAACAATAGCTTCCAGTCCAGTATTCAAATGGCACTGTGCGAAGCATTGTATGGTAGAAGATGTTGTTCTCCTATTGGATGGTTTGAAGCTGGTGAGAATAACTTATTGGGACTTGACTTAGTACAAGAAGCTATGGACAAGGTTCAGTTGATCAGACAAAGATTGCTTACAGCTCGAAGTAGACAAAAGTCTTATGTTGATAAGAAAAGAAGAGATTTAGTGTTCACAATTGGGGACAAAGTGTTCCTACGAGTCTCCCCTATGAAAGGTGTGATGTGGTTTGGAAAAAGAGGCAAGTTGAAGCCCAGGTTTATAGGACCGTATCAGATATCAGACCGAGTAGGAACGATGGCTTATCGTTTGGCACTTCCTCCTGAGTTGCCTTTTATTCATCCAGTGTTTCATGTCTCAATGCTAAGAAAATGTATATCAGACTCATCTCAGGTGATTGAAGCACCGACCATGCCGCTCGATGAGAAGTTGTCTAACGAGGAGAAGCCAATGGCTATTGTTGATAGATAAATAAGAAAACTACGGTAAAAAAAATTATGTTCGTGAAAGTCTTATGGAGAAATCATACAGTTGAAGAAGCTACTTAGGAAGTATAAAAAGATATGCAAGCGAAGTATCCCCATTTATTTCAGTCTACAAGTACGAACTTGAGTTAAATTTGGGGACCGAATTTCATAAGGTGGGGAAGATGTAATACCCTATAATTTTAATAAGGGTGTATTGGTCATTAATATAATAATAACAATATTATAATAATAAGGAACTATCTATAAAAAAATAAAATAAGAACTAACTAAATAAAAAAAAAGGAAAAATCAAGGAATTTAAAACAAGGGTCGAAGCCCATTAGAAAACATTGAAAAGAGTTAAAACAAAGCTTCAAACCCCTTTTTGAAGCAAAAGAAGCAGAAAGCAAACGACACCAAGAAAAAAGAGACGAGCAGAGAAAAGAAAAGGGAGGGAAAGAGAAGAAGAAGAAGAAGAAGAAGAAGAAGAAGAAGAAGAAGAAGAAGAAGAAGAAGAAGAAGAAGAAGAAGAAGAAGAAGAAGAAGAAGAAAGCTTGGGGCAAAGGCCTTAAAATGAATTGAGAGTTAAAATTGAAAGTATTAAAGCTCTCATTCGACTCAATATGTTAACTTTGTTCCCTTCATCTGTTGAATTATTTCACCATATCTATGCAATTTCATGATACAAAAGAATTCAATATCAACTTTCTATTATATAAAAAGAAATATACAATTACTATGGAGATAATAAAGCTATAAATGTTTGGTTTAAGCACTGATAGATCTAATTTTAGAGGAATAAATTATACTAAATAGTTTGAAATTGATAGAATTATGGACTATTTCTATGATTAATTATAAACCTACAAACTAAGAGTCAAACATGAACCCCGGTGATTGGGTATTCTAAATTAGTGATGGAATTAGCCCAAATGAGGCAGTTAACATAAGATCGATATTATGTTATTATAGATTGATTGAAGGAATTTGTACAAATTGCTCGAAGTGAAGCTTTTGGTAATCCGACACGAGTACTATGAGCAGTAATCTTAACGTAATTTGTGTTTTCATAACTTGCATAATTTATACATGATTTTTAATATGAATATGTTACCGATTATTTTGAGTTGCATGTGGGACAAGTCTTTTACTCGATATGATACCAAAATAGTTATTTGAGATGATTACCGTTGTTTTAAATATTCTTGTTGTCACTAGATATGTCTTACCGTTACTTGAATTTACTATTATCAAAATGAAATTACATGATTTGTTAAGAACCAAAATGCCCTATATTGTTTTAAAATATTTTCCTATGAGTATATACGAATACAGAGACAAGTATAAATGGGAGTAGACTTTGAAGGATCCCGTAGCTAATGGCGGGTTCGTTAGACCTGGTGCACCTTGTATTTACTGATTATAAAGTACAGTTATAGCCTCACTAGTGGGAAGGTAGAACTAGCATACCGTTACCGATTTTTCTCAAGTAGGGACTACCGTTATATTTGACTTCTTGCGAAGAAGTCCACAATTATACAGATTACATGATCCGTTCATTAAAACCTTCCAAATGTGAATATTGATATTATACAGTGGTTACCGAGCTTATTACTAAATTATTAATTGTATTATACTACAAGAATAACATGATGATACTTAAAATTATTTATTGTTTCTGAAAGGTATTTTATGTTATTTTCTGTTTGAGATACTAGCATGTTTTTTGACTTGTCCCCAATAAAAATGGTTGTGGTTAACACTGAGCTAGCAACTCATTCTCCGCTAATTTTTTTTACAGAGACTACAGTTGATGCATGCAAGGATTTCGGTAATTAGAGCGCATAGGTTGATATTTCTTGGTGAGCTTCGCACTTGTTCGCGCGGGCGGAGATTTTATTTATTGTTATAATCTTTTCTCTGAACTCTTAGAGTCGCTCCATAACCAATATTTTAGTGTCATGAGTATTCTTTTGTTATTATAGTCTTATGTTGAGTATCATTCTTTATTATCAAAGTTGGAGATAAATTAGTTAACGGTGGAGACTTGTTTTGGTTAATTGATAAGTTGTCAATTGTTTGGTATGATATTATGATGTTTGGTTGTTGATTTGAGACAGGAAAATTTTTGGGATAGTCCAAAAACAGGTGAAGCTCTATCCGATTTTCTGTAAAACCTATGAGGCTTACCTGGGAGCACTTGCTCTTGAGCGCCAGTCACGATCCTAAATTGGGTCGTGAAAAAGTTGGTATCAGAGCTTAGGATTTAAGTATCGAGGCATGGAGCAATGTTTAGTAGAGTCTTGTTCATGGGTATGCAGGCGCCCATACTTATGATCTTGAGGCTATTGAATATCTAGGAATGTTTTCCCTTCTTTCATTCTTTGATCGTGCGTTGAGATAACTTGAGATTGACTTTGGAGTATTTCTTTTGTAGATGGCTAGGACACGCACACCCTCATCTGTTGGACGTGGTTCTGGATGTGGTAATACCGAGAGTGGCGGTCATGTTGGAGTTCATCAAACTAGAAGACAGACTGCTCCTCAACCTTAAGTTGGGAACATGGGTCAACCTCAAGCTGTTATGCCAGATTAAATACAATGGCAGGGAGTTCAGGACGCTCCACCACCAATGCCAACTGTTGTGCCTACTATTGCCTTACTTGCAAACGCAATGGCAAGGTTATTGAATGTGTTAGAGGTACTGGTGCCTACTCTGGGAGGAGTTCAGCTCCTCAGGCTACTTTACAGACACAAGCACCTTTACATACTCAGACTTTTGGAAATAAGAAAGTATCCCTACAAGAGTTCCTGAAATTGAAATCGCCAAAATTCACAGGTTCTGATAATTCAGCAGATCCTCAAAGTTTCTTGGATGGGACACTCAAGGCATTACGTGCTCTGGAATGTTCTAGTGAGAGAGCGGTGGAGCTCGCAACATACAAACTAGAGGATATGACCAATACATGGTATGAAACTGTATTGCTAGGAAGGCTGGTAGGAGCAACACCTTTGACATCTGACGAGTTCACTAAGTTGTTAAAGAATCATTTCCTTTCAGGCAGCCTGATAAAAAAATATACTAGAGACTTTGAGAGATTGGTTCAGACTCCAGATATGGATGTGTCAACATATAACACTAAGTTTTGTAAGTTGTCTATATATGCTCCTTACTTAGTGCCTACCGAAGAAGCTCGAGTGAAGAGGTTTGTTGATGGATTGGTTGGTCGTCTATACACTGGAATGGCTCCACAGATGAAGAATTTATCCTACTTTGATGTAGTCGACCTTGCTAGAAAGATTGAAAACAAGGGATGTGATGAGCATGCAGCTAGTGATTTACGTAACAGACGGGACACACTTGTCTTTACAGACCACATACAGACCACATTACAGACATGGTACTAGAGGACCGTTAGCTTCTAGACATCATAATTATGGATAGATATATGCCACTACTCCAGTCTGCCAGACCTGTGTAGATCATATTTGGGCTAATGTCGTATTCTAACAGGAGAGTGCTTTCGGTGTGGCCAGTTAGAACATCACTTGAGGGATTGCCCTCAGCCTCCGGGGAATTTCAACCAGGCTTCTATTCAGTCAGTTGCACCTACTCAGGCTGTTCATAATTCTTCAGGTGCCACATGTACAAGAAATAAAGGTTGAGGTGCTGGAGACCGTGCTACTATGAATCAAGGACAAGGGAATGCTGGTAGAGGTCAGGCGAGAGTTTTTGCATTTACTAGACAGGATGGTCAGGCCTCGAATGTTGTGGTTACATGTATTCTTTCTGTCTGTTCATTTGATGCACTCTCGTTGATTGACCGGGATCTACTCACTCATATATGTTGTCGTACTTTGCTTTGAGGTTTAGTAGATAGGGAAGAGCAACAAAATGTCTCATAATTTTCTCTCACTAAAATGTGGTTCCCGAATGACACCTGGCGAAATATGAGAGGAACTTTTGTCTGCCACATAATAGTTATGTCTCCCGCATAATAAAATTTCTACACTATGATAACTCTTACCAGAATCATAAAGAGATCTTTGCTTAGTGTAGTTGCCATATTATCAATTACCAATAAAAAAAGCTACTTCTGGTACCCTCAATCAATAAAAAAGCCTGCAAGGTTTTATCTTTTGAGGGAGAAAGAGAAAGTTAGGTCAGAGGAGATTTAATATTCTCACTGGGGGTTGTGAGAAATAAAAGGGGATGAATGACGAAGGAAAAGAAAGAAAAGATAGGACTCTGTCCCGTTTCCATTTTTTTATTTTTTATTTTTATTTTGCATTTAATTTTCATATTTTTACTTCTGCCAGAATATATGTTCTTTTATTATTTTGTATAATGTATCAATATTTTTATAATATTTTTCTACATTGTATGAAATTGTATTAAACTTTTCATCTATTTTATTCTACGTTATTCTCCAAGAACCCGTACATTTTATTTTAAAAATCTTTTTATTCTTCCTCTATCTATTTTTTTTTTATCATTTATATACAGTTTACGTGTAAGACTTATACAAAGTGAAAATTTAATAAAGCTCTATAAATGTATAACTTTCTATATGGTTCAAATAAAAGAAAATAATAGGTAAATTTAATTAATTTTAAGCTCTTAAGGAATAAAAATAATGATTAACTAACTATTAAATGAAGTTTTTCTTATACTAATATTTAACATAAAAATTGAGGGACTCCATAATGTATGTTTTTTGCGATGCATATCATGTTTGAAATAAAAAGAAAAACCATTCGTTTTAAATTGTAACTCTTTATTAGAAAAGTTAAGAAAAAATCAGTACCGTAGGTTTAATTATTAGAATAAAAATGTACTCTTTTGCTTTATTAGTTGAAGAGACTAGCTAATTGTTTGAACAGAAAGTGTAAAACCCTTTTGTCGAACTAATTATTAATAATAAAGAAGGTAAACCTTAGCCAAAAATAATTAATTTCAGATCCAAATATACAGGATGCGAAATAGAAAAAGAATAAAAACGCGTAAGATTTCTTAATGTAGTAATTGTACATCAAACATGAGAGATGAGCTTACATCTGGGGCAGATATGCGTCATAATCATGGGAGCAAGGAAGGGGAAGAGAGGTAATTGTTGATGGTGAAGAGATTCCTCTTGTTTACTCTCTTGTGGTAGCTATCTCCCAAAAATCCCCCCCCCCTTGTCTGGGCTTTTCTCCCATATATATAGTTATTTTCCCTTTTATCCAATGGTCTTTGACCTGTGTACTTTCTTATGACCGTACCTTTCATCATTTGCTCGAACACAAAGCTTGTTCTATGATGTACGCTTTCCGACGATTTGACCCCGGCGATGGCCGTGGTGCTCTTTGCTATCTTGCCCCGTGGGCATGATTACGACTTGGTCGACCCCTTATCATTCCTCTTAAGGACAACCATTCTAGTCAGATTTGACCCATACAGTTAGTCCCTCCGCCCGTCGAGGTCACCCTTTAGCGGGCTCAACGGACGGACTTTATCGATTCAAAAGCTAGGAGAAATCTGAATGTTACGCATTGAGTGAGATCCTTGGGTCGAGGCGGCAACATGATGCTTCAATGGTACCATCGGACTGTTACGTCCGGTCAGAGTTGAATCGTTGTATTGATTTGATGCATCATGAATAGCCACTGTCATTATGGCGCATGTTTCCCAGGCACCGTATCGTTTCTTATGCCCTATCAGTTTTGATTGGCGGCTCTTGGGTTTCCCGCTCAGGACATTTGTATTCCTATAAATAGGGGAAACCACCATTCCACTGCTACACTTTTCGATTTTATCTGAAGAATTTTGCAAACCTCCACCTTCTTCAATATTTCATACTTCTGATTTCATTCTCCTGTTAGTCAGAACTTGACGCTACCATCTTCTCTTTTCCTTCATCATACTCATTTACTCCGGTTAATCCAGGCAAATGGATGGTACTTCTTCCCAGACTGACAGACTCGTCGAAGCTCTGGTGCTGGAAAATGACGCACTTGTTCTTGGAGAAGGAGCGGAGGCGGCGAAAGATGAGGGAGTTCAAACAGCGGCTGAGATACTACCCCGTCTGGGGAAATTATGGACCGATTTCAATAGCCCCATCGGAGAAGAACCAAATCCTGCGTCCTCTACCATGGATGAAGCGGTGATTGCGGCGCTCAATACCAAGTGGGGAATTCCAAACAACATTGAAATGGTGCCGCCAATAGGAACGGATATTGTACATCTGCACCACCTAGGGTACTGCGCATTCTACGCGTACCTTTTTGTTGTCGGGTATACACTTCCTCTCCTCTCTCTAGTAATATACTTCTGTCGCTTCTACGAAGTGTGTCCGACTCAAATTTCACCGTACATGTACAAACTCTTCCTAATGCTGCTCAAGTACGCGAAGCTCACTGATCGGGAGGTCACTTTGGGGCATATGCATAATATCTTTGCCCCACAACTTATTCAAGGCACGATGATCCACATGCGCCACCGAGGAACAAAGAATTTGGTGGTGCAGATGGACGACAAGGTTAATCACCATTTCTAGGAAAGATATCTTTACGTGCGGACCGAGCACCTTGTGGCAGACCCGATAGGGTTTCCCGAGACGTGGAACTTCGCCCGTAAGTCTTCCTTTGTTTATTTTGTGACTCCTCTCGAGGTGGTGGCCGACTGTTCCTCTTTAGGTGGCGTTGCTAATTTGTTTTTGCTTTCGCATATGAGAGATTACCTCCCCCGCCAGTTGACGACATCCACGAGTGGGTAAATGCTAATATTCCCCATATAGTAAGGGTGCGCGAGTGGGCGTCCTTCTACGAGAGATACAGGTGTAAGACTCTCACTAGTTAGTCAGCTCGTTGCAGTTTCCTTGTTCATTGCCTTGTAATTTGATCTCGTCGCTATATGATCATTTTTCTTTATTGACAAGGAGAGTGCGAAAAGAGAGGGCTCCTCCACTCACGTTCCATTAACTGGCACCTTCTACCCGACCTGCACCGAGGTTTGTTGCCCGACCTATATCGAGAGCTACTCAATCTGCACCTTTGGCCGTGTGCATGGAAACTACTCCTCAACCTGAGACTCCGGCTCCTACCGTCTGCTCAATGAGCGAATCTTCCTGTGTTGGTAGCGGAGAGGGCCCGTCGAAGAGACAACAAGTGGAGTCTGAAGTGGATCCTTCAATCGAAGCATCTTCGGGGGGCAACCCTCCCTTGGTGGTGTCTGAAATTGGCAGTGGTCCTATCCCGGCCGCAGAGGCAAACCCGGTGGCAGAGGCAAACCCAGCGGTAGAGGCAAACCCGGCAGCAGAGGCTTCGGCCGTTGTGAACAATCAACAGGCTATTATGACGGACAAACGTGGTCCCGAGGCTGTTGTTGCCGTTTTGGGCGACCTTTCATCATCCGTACCGAATCGCGCTTCTTCTTCAGTCGTAGAGAAGGGAAAGGGTATCGTGGTTGATGACTATGAGTCTGACTCCGACCTCGATCCTGATGATGTTAGGATGTTCGAGAAGGGCTTTACCCGTACTGTGGTAAGAGTAGGAGGTCATTCCCGAATACTTGAGATTACATTGGATCTCATTCTTCTACGGGACACGGAGGGTTTGGTGTTGCAGTTCGACTTTCCGTGCTCTATCGTAGAGTTTGAGGCTCTTAGGGACGTTAGCAACGTCGAATTATCATATAAAGTGGCTGTTATGGGCCTGAGGGTAAGTGGTTCCGTCACCGGGAATCTAATAATCTAACCTCTTTTAGCTTAACTTTCCTTGTCGCATCAACCATGTCGAACAACAATGACAACATTCAAAGAAACCAAGAAAACCAAGAACTTTAGGGAAATCCACAAGGTAATCAAACCCCGATCCCATCTCTATAAGGCTCTCCTCGGCGGTCTCGTGAAGGCTCTCCTGATGGATCTCACGCAAATGGAAACGCTCAATAAAGCTTTGCAGAAACTAATTGCTGCACATGTCAATAAATCTCTTGAAGCTTTTGCTAGCCAGTTACCTGTTGCACCACCCACACCCACTCCAAATAACAACACTTTGGAGAATCCTCGTTCCGATCTTGTTAATTCAGGTAGCGGTGGAACCCCCAACGAATCACAAGAGGGAGAACCAGGTAGCTTAGTCAATTCTGATTTACAAAATTTAGTACTAACATTGCAGAAACAGCACAAGGAGCAAAGTGACCGCATAAAGCAGATACCCGGGGTGCTGCCCGTAATCAAAGGGATAGATACGGATAAATATTAGCAACAACCCTGGAAGCCAAGTGTTGCTACCCTCCCAATTCCAAAGAAATTCAAAATGCCTGATATTCCTAAATACGATGGAACAACAGACCCACGAGACCACGTGACTGCATTCACAACAGGCGTAAAAGGCAATGACTTGACTAAGCAGGAAATTGAATCAGTATTAGTCAAAAAATTCGGTGAAACACTCACCAAGGGTGCATTAACATGGTATTCTCTTTTACCCGAAAATTCTATAAATTCTTTTCCTGAGCTTGCAGATTCTTTCATCAAAGCACACTCGGGAGCTCAAAAAGTCGAAAAAAGAATGGAAGATATTTTCAAAATCAAGCAAGGGGACTAAGAATTGCTTAGAGAGTTCGTGGACAGATTCCAACGTGAAAGAAAGACATTACCACGTGTACCTGATAATTGGGA